CAGACACCTTAAACAGATTCAAAGAACTGGAAGTTATAGCAAGGTTACACCATCGTAAGTCTTCTCAGGTGAGCAGGAATAGGATCCAAATTCCAATCTGGGAGCCAGAGAGACAGCTCTTCTTGCACACTGGACACCACGTTGCTTCCCATACAAATAAGTTTCCTATGATGAGAGGACATTGGAAAGAACCAAGCATGCGTGAGTCTGTGAAGGAATCATCCTTGGCCTGCCTGGTCAAAACTGGAGGGCTGGATTTGCCCATTTCGCTTCTGCTGTAGAGAAGAGGAGATAGAGTAGCCTTCGCCTTGAGGGTGTTTATCAGATGACTCACTCATCTTTTGATACATGAGGCCTGGAGACTGAGGAGAGAAGGGGAGATTCTTGGGGGTAGGGGATGTTGGGGATGGGGAGGAATTCAGTACTAAATCTGACACATTGGCCATGGAATGGAGGATTCTCATTCTCCGACTCCAATGTTTGTGGAAAGGTCAATGATGTATTTTGGCAGAGGCAGTGATCCTGCCAGTTCCTCCTGTCAGAGATACCTAACAGGGATTTGATCTGCCCAGAACAAACTAGGGAAGTTGGGGGACAGAGATGGAAAGTGTAATAGGGACACAGGCACCCTTTCTTTTGACATGTGGGCATTCATGGCCTCCCTCCTTCTCAAGAACTCTGGCAGTGTCATTTTGGTATTTACTACTTTTCTGTGGCTCTGTGGCCTAATTGGGCAGTGAAAGAAACTTATAAGCCAAGAAGGGGTACCTGTTGCAGAAGGATCCTTGGAAAAAGGATGTTTCTCCAGAAAGGGTGCAAATGCAGAGGTAGTAGGTAAGAGGATAATGGAGGGGGAAAAAGAGCAATTAATGTTCACATTTTGGGGATACCATAGAAATTTTTTCAAAGATATACTAAAGAATAAAAGGAGAGATAGTGCTGGCTTAGGGAAGGGATTGTTCTGGGGACTGAAAGATGCAGAGAATGAAAAGTATATAAGGAAATCAATGTTTACTTTTGATTGCTAGATTATGAGGTTTTGAATACAATAATTCACAAAGACAGGACTATATGAGCCCCAGGATTTACTTAGATCATGGAATCCTATCTCATAGCAAGTAAAAAGGCAAGAGAATTCACTCAACTCAATTCAAATTTGTCTATAACTTCATTCATGGGTGTGAAAGTCCCTTCCAACCCCCACTGTAAAAGTTAGGCAACTTGCTCAAGTTCTCACCGCTGGTGGGCCTGGGATTCAACCCCAGAAAGACCTGCTCCAGCACCCGTTTCTTCAAGCATCTGCTCCCTGCAAGGGTGATTGACATTGCCTTCTGGTGGCAGAAAAAATCAAATCTTGGAACATCCCGAGGAACATATTTCTAACATTTATTCCAATATTTCTACCAAAGATTATTAGTAATGCAGTCCTAGAAATGTCTCATAATCAGAAGATTCAAAAGGCCAGATGAGAACCAGAAGAGTTTACGGGTCTTTTAACACAAGAATGGATAAACAATGTGTTGTATAAGCATACACTAAAATACTACACACCAATAAAAAATATGGAACTACTAATACATGCAGACCTAAAACACATGATTTTGAGGGTAAAAAAACCTTACTTTTTGTTAATAATTTTTTGTTCCTTCACTGTTTTTTTAAAGTTCAACAATTAATTTGATATTATTATTATCCTAAAATTAGAGCAAACCTTATTCTGTTGTCTGATAAATAGCTTCCATGTGTAATTTGTAATTGTATATTGTGAGTTCTCCTTAGGTGGGACTTTTTCTATGGGCAACTTTACATCAGGTTGAGGGTGCTTTTCAAGAGCACTTCATTTTATGCTTGCTTCTGCTAGTATGCCCTCCCTTCTCCATTTGCCCTATGAAAATTTCTTGATTTGGGACCTTTTGAGACAGTGAAGCTAGTGTAAATTCAAACTTCAGCTTTGTAAAGGTCAGGCCTGTGTTTAAGATTTCTTAGGAAAATCTATTGTTTTTAAAAACATACACCAGATCAAGAAAGATAAGCCTTCCTATAGTATCCATGTGCCAGTGAGCAGATTTTTTGTTTAACTGAGTCTGTTGCTGGGAATTTCAGTTCCAACTTCCCATCTAACTATAGTTAAGACCTTGTACCCTATACCTATGAGGCCAATAAAGCACACACTCCCTGGTTACCTAAGGCAGCAGTTCTCCCCCCAACTGGGGCAGTACCAATGCCAGGTCATGTTTGTTTACATCATCGTTTGGGTCCCTGTAAATTTTTCTTTCTTTTGCGGTCAGCTATGTCTTTAAGAAGGTATCAGTTGTATCGTAGCCAACATTTGTAGTTTTTGTAGTGGGAGGGTTTTCAAACTTTCCATTGCACAATAATTCTTTGTCAAATAAGTTTTGGAAATGCTAGACTAAACTCCTCCTTGGAGAGTCACACCACAGGCCTGTTAAAAGCCAACAACTTAACCCTTTTAGAACACCATACATTAAGATCTCTCCTGACTTGGGTTTACCTCTAAATCAACACTTTGCATACGAACAATGCGGCAGTTCTTCTTGCTCAAGAACAGTCATGGGCTTAACTCTTCCTTGAAGCCACTACTTTAACCCATCACTAGGACAGAGCTGTACCCACAGGGAGGGGGTCTTATCTTTCTGCTATGCCAGTACTACTCATCTGTATTCAAAAGCAAAGAAGAGAAAAAAAATCACCCTATTTTGTGGCATTTAATAGGACAATTTGCTTTGTGAGGATATATTCTTACTTGTCCAGTGTCAGTAAAATAAAGGCTGTGAAGGGGGTCAGATGTCTTGATACGACAGTATAATCAGATGGCTTTGCTGTTTCCCATCTGTGGAGCAGTCAAGGATATGAAAAGTCATAGAACACTCTGTACAATATTGCTATTAGTCAAAAAATTTAACTACTTTAAAGATCAATGGTCAACCCTGCAGGTTTCTAATGCTATTTATTAGATTGAGGTTCACGTTTAGAATGTATTGCACAAAGAGCTAAAGTGTGAAGGACAATCCCATAGAGTGGCAGCTCTGTAGTCTTGTGAACTTAGCACACTGTCCCTTTGGGAGACAAACATGCTTCTGGGTCTATCCTATGGTTTCTACCAAAGTAACTAATTATAATAAATAATTTTAGGAATTATATGCCTCAGCAGCAGAACACAAAGAATTCTGATAGCACACATCTTCCAAAGTGTAATTTTTAGGTTAACATGATCCATCAGATGTCTATTAGCCAGAATCAGGTATAGAGATATTTATGGAATTCATAAATTATTGATTAAATAGGCAAGATACTGAAATGGGAGTAAAAACTCATATAACGATCAGTAAGAAACTGTTCCACTATCATGCCATCATAAAAAAGGAAAATAAGGTCCCAACCTTCCCTGACAGCTTGGCAAAGTACCTCCCATTGACATAAATATTAGTCCTACTTCTCCGTATGCGCAGCTTCCAGGTTGTTTGGATACATCAAAGGGGTCCCAATTCCATCTCTGCCTGAGCAACCCTAATCCTGCTCTCCTGGTCACATCTAAACTCTCAGTGTAGATCAACTTCCCTTTTCATAAGCTCTCAAGGCATCTCAAATGTTTCCATTTGTAATTCTTGTCCTACTTGTTAACATCCATCTTCCCAAATAAAACATAAGATCTATGACAGCACACCACTCATGGTTTGAAAATAATAGCGAAGTTCAGAAGGACAACCAGCACTGGGCCCAGCCATACTCTTCCCTCTCCTGCCACCCAGGTATTCCTGCCACCACCATTTCTTGGGCACTTACTCTTCAGGAGGCACTGGGGTTACAAAGGTGGATTAAGATTAAGTCACCAAGGCAGAGACATGAGTTCTCAAATCTCCCTTTGTTCTTAGCACACGGCAAAATGATATATTCCAGTCTCCCTTGCAGGTGGGTGACACTGGGACTAAGTCCTCTCCTAGGAAAACGAACAGAAGTGATGCATGTGTGCCTCTCCACAGCCTGACTTTAAAGTCTCCCCCGGGTGTTCCTTCATGCTCTTTCCTCTCTGACTGGGATGCACATGACCAGTCACCTCAGAAGCCATGTGTCAGAGAGCAAAGCCAACCTTGACCTGGGTCCCAGAAAAACCTGCATGAAACAGAGCCCCTCCTGTCTGTGACACCTAACCTGAAAGAAGTGAAACAGTAGTAAAATTCTCAGTCTTAATAAAGCCTTGGAGATTTTGGACTGTTAACGCAGCCCAGACTAGCCTGACATAGTTATCAGTCTCAAGAAGTTCACATGTCCTAGGAAGGAATTCCTATTACTGTGGACTATGTTCCCAAGAGCCTTTGAGACTCTGGTGGGGGGCTGTGTTTTGCCAATTCAGTGATGCGGGCTTCAAAAGCTGCAGGTTTGTTCCCATTGAGGATGGATGGCCAAGTTCATTTAGGCTGAGATACTGCATAATGGATTATTTTTTCTATACAAACAAGCATTCTGAACCAGTTTTTCTGAGGGAATAACTTGGTGGTATGTAAGCTCAATTGTTTTCTTCTCACTACTCATCCCTCTACCATCTTTCAAAAGTGAAAAATCCAATAGCCATTATTTCAGCCCCTGAGTAAGAGTTCTCACCTCCCTTGTGCTTTTGCACTGCTACAGTGATAGGCAAGGTTCGGTGTAGATGGGTCTTCCAAATGCCCTAGGAGACGAGGCAGGCCAGTGTCTTGAAGGAAAGCAGGATCCCTTGCCGTCTGCTCCAGCCCTGGCCACGTCCAGGCCTCAGGACAGAGGGAGACCTGAGAAGTGAGTGCAGTGAGTTTCTACAGGCAACACAAAGGGAAGCCTTGAAACTCTGGATTTGTCCTTCGTCTTGGGTACTTTACAGAGCAGCTAAAAGGCACAAAGTTTGGATTAAGTCAAAGAGGAGAGGAAAAAAAGAGGGAAAATGATCAGACTGGACGGAGGATGGACACATGAAAATTATTTTTTAACAAAATAACACTTTTCACTGCTGAGGCAAATGGCTTTTATAAAAGTGCTTAATGAAAAGCAATATATTATTTTGTTTTTACTTATCAGTATCATCATGTTTTGATGCAAACAGATATTTACAATGAAACCAAAACATGTTAAGATCAAGGATTATGTACAATTTTGTGAAAAGATGATTTATAATCAGGCAATGTACCACTTGAGACTCATTCTAGTTGCTAGAGATGCTATTTGAGGAAGCAAAGAATACATAGGTGAAGAGAAAAATAATTAAGTACCACCTGGCTATATAATTAAAATTATTACAAAGAATATAAATAACAAATTTATAATGTTTTGCAATACAAATAGACAGTATTTGTAGTAGAAAAATTGCATTTGCACCAAGAAGCTATTTAAAACAAATAGGATTAAACTACATCAGAAACATGTTAAAGGTATATGAGTCACACATATACACTGTCACAGTTCACATGAAACTATTCACATGGCCATGTGAGGGCCATGCCCTGGTCTGAAACTACCAAAGGGCTTTCAACCAAACCTCCTGGTTTGGAAAAGCTGCTCAAAAAGCTCCCCAACAGGGCTCTTCAGGTTTGATGAGTCCATGTTTGGTTTTTCAAAAGAAGCTATAATGTTTTAAGGACAAAACATGTAGGACTGAGGTAAAGAGATACTAAACAAGAAGGAACTTTTCTGTTGGCACAAAAGTTTTACATGAATACTTTCCAAAATGTTTATTTGACAGGATGGGTCAACCACACATCTGTAATACCAGAAGAAATAACACTTCAATACTGAGGACATAAATGAACTATTGATGCATATTAGCAAAAGCACCAATCTCTCCCTTCTCTCACTTCATGCTAAATTAAGGTTTTATGCTGGAATCTCAGGTGTACCTTACCATTTCAATTTTTTTTTAAGAGTCTTTAATGTTTCCCATACTACAAAGCAGCATACAGACTCTACTCTTGAAGGACATGGTAATTAAGTCACATGTGAAGTTATTTGCCTTAGAAGACATTTTTATCATCTACCTCAAAGGTGGTACAGGACGCGGGCTCTGCAGGTTTATATACGCCCACATCAGGTAGTAACACGATAGCTATCAACAAGGGTTTGGGCCATAGAAAAGTCAAAATTTGGCTTTTTCTACTGTCACAAGGCAACCCCAGGCCAAAGGTTGTTTACTTCAGATTACAGTCATTATTTGGGTTTCGTAGTTAGAAAGGCCTGTGCCTAACAGGGATCATCCACAGAAGAGGCGAGGTTGTAAGGCCGTAAGCACTGTGGCGTGGCCTGGGAACTGCAGGACCCTGCTTCTCACCCCAGGCAATGTGCACTTCTCAAAGGGAAGAAGTGCGGTTGCCTCAGTGCTGCTTCGCTCTGAGATCTAAGCAAGTCAGGGTGGTTTAGTAGTTCTGGCAAGAGATGAATAATAAAAGAAACAAAGAAAGAGGTTCCAAACTTTCCTTCTAATCAATGAAAAGTCACTCTGCTTCCCCTATTCACACACAAAGCCCTGCCCCCATCCTAAAATCCATGCTTTTAATTGACCTGATTTTGACTTGTATCAAATACTATTTTGTAACTAAATAATTGATATTGCAATATAGGGAAACATGGTTATTTTTAATTTTTAAAATTAAAATCAAGTTTCCATGCACTTGACTTCTGGATCAAATATATTCTAAACAGGAAAAATCCATAAGGTCTTACTGAAATGTTTATTTGTTAACAGTAATGTATTAATTATTTCAGGTTGACTTTTTTCATTTAGTTTAAATTCAGTAAGTAGTGAAAACAAACAAAATCTCAAGTGGAAAGAAATTAAATTGGATGAGTATTTGTCAGGCCATTTAGTAAAAATCCCATCTTTTGCCAGGATATTAAAAAAAGGGAAAAGCAGAAAAATGGTTCCCACAGTCAGACACTTCCATTTTTAATGGGTCCTCTTCTCCAAACTGCTTTCCCCTCTTCTTCCAATTTTTTTTTTAAGTATTGCTGAGAAAGAAAATATATTTTTCTTATTACATAATTAGGTACTATTTGGGGTCCCACTGGAAATTGGCCTTACATTTATAAAAAGCCAAAATAGAATTTATTTCTTCATTCTTTCCTCTCTAGTCAACCACTCAACTTTACAAGAATATATGAATATTTTAATACAGCAGGGGCATTATACAGAATACCCAAATTCTGAAATCTTTCTTATTCCATACCTGTGAACTTAAACTTAATGAACTTTGAAGACTCTGTTACAGCTGATTATATGAGAAAGAAATCTGGTGACGGGAGGCAGACCCAACTCAGGAATGACCCAGAAAAGCTTCCTAGCATCAGGGAGATGGAGTCACTGCCTTCAAAACCATGGCGCTTTCAATGAGGATGTGTCAAGACCTACATGCGGGAGTGGCAGAAAATGAGCAAAAGTTAAGATTTTCCCAAACTATTGGTTCTGCTCCTGGCCTCAAACTCCAGGGTGTGTTATAGAAAGAGAAAGCATTGGTGACTCTTAATGAAGAACCTCAGTGTAGTGGGGGATGAGATTGTCAGGCAACTGAGTTGAAAGATGAAAAATAACCACTTCTAAAAATTGGATTCTATCAGAATAAAAACTCCCTTTGTATAAGGCTTGCAACAGGCTCATTCAACCAGGCCAGGGTAGTTTCAGAACCTGCCCCTCCTCCAGTGAGCCATGTTCAAAGTTAATACAATGCAAGGGTTATCTAAACAGCCAGATAGGAGTATACTGCATATTTCTTCTTAAAGATGACAGAAATTCTTTGAATTTCATAAACCTATACTAACTTGTTATTCTGTCTGGACCCAAGGGGTATAGGATCAACTTTAGCCATCTTTCATAAGCTTGGAATCTAATTTTATGAATTTATTCTAAGACATAAATCAGGTAAGGCAGAAGTGGACGGATGTATTTTTTTAAAGAAATTGAGCCCCCAAGGTACATTTAGTAGATTGAGTATTGAGAGATTTACAGGGATAAAAATCTTTATAAGACTAAGGAAGAAGGAAACGAAACCAAATCTTTCATTTCCAGATACTCACTTCACTAATTCTTTCACCAAAAGCACATCACTGAAGGAAAACCAGAAATGGTTTTTCAGTTATTATTAAAGTGGTTCAAGAGCCAGGTAACCCTTTGAGACCGGATATAAAATAACAGTTTCAAGTTTTCTTCACAAGACTACCTTGTACTGGCAAGACTTAGGGGACTTTTGGCTTCAAAAAGAATATTGAGAAAGCAACTTAAAAAAAAAAAGTCACTACATTTTGGCCAAAAAAAAAACAACAAAATTTCTCCTGTAAAATACCTACTTCCTTTTGAACCTCCAAATGTTACATTTTACTTGAGATGCTTGGCAGTCACAGCTTCATGGGCTATGGTTCTTGATTTCCTAAACCCTTAGGTCAGAAAAGCACAGCTGATGTCACCTGGCTGCTGTGTGAGTCCTCTCACTGAGGATGGACTGTGAAGACAGCGGAGAGCCTGCAGGTCCCTGGGGGGAACTCTGTGAATGTTACAGGTAATAAATAAAGCATGATCAAGGAAATTCAGAGAGCTGGGATGACTTCTAAGCCCTTTTCTGTAATCATTTCCAAGGCTCTCTCAATCTCTCTCTCTAAAATGTGTCCCTGTACTATGCACCTGATGTTTCTTACAATTTGACCAAAATAAATACTTAATCCAAGAAGAGGAAGCAAGACTTCTGCTACACTTTGGGGAAGCTCTCAGGCTGCTTGCTTTCATTTCATGGAGGCTGCAGCCCTTTCCGTGAAAGGTACTAATGAGGGCCTGGGGTTGCTTCCTTTGGTCAAAGCCCTCTGGCCCCAACTAAATGAACTTGTGCCCATCCCTTGTGCCCATGTTTGTTTTTCTGTACCCTGATTGTCATGCCTGAAAGATTCTCAATATACATGAAGCTTAATGCCATGAGACTACACTACTAGCAACTGTTTTATAAGAGAAGCTTGCTCATTCAGGAAAATACAAGGATTTGGTCTAATCTGCACACCAGAGCCGTACTCTATGAAATGCTCTCATTAGGCTGATGATCCCTATCAGCACTCGGACTCTTGCGCTGCCTCAGCGTGTCTCCGGCCACCTCTGTGCCAGCAGACCGGGGCTGCTCAGGGGCAGCCTCTTCGGTCTCATCAGGTCCCACGTCCTCCTGCGTGTCATTCCTCTCCTCATCCACACCAACAGCCAGGCTGTCCTCCTCCTCTTCCTCCTCTACTTCGTCCTCATCACCAACGTCTTCCTTCTCTTCGTCATCATCTATGAGGCTGTCTTTGTTTTCTTCTTCATTTGAATCATCTTTTTCCTCCTCTGCATCCTGCAACTGTTCGGCCCTCTGTGCTTCCTCCGACCTCTGATTCTGCTCTGTGCAGGAGAGAGAGGGGAATGTCCTCTGAATAAATATTGGTCATTTAAGTGCATCCAGGCACAGGGCGGTTTCCTTTACTTTGAAACTGTTGCCACACAGGGCAGCTCTCTGGTCAGTGTCCTGGCCCCATCAGGCTCCTCCATCCCTCTCTATAGAGGTTTCACTGACCGTGCTGGCTTTGGCAGAGTACAGGGGTCAGGAAGATGAAGGTCCTATAATGCTTTGTATTTTGTCCCTTTCAGAAAACTCAGTGACCCATCCACTGGCCATGGTGATTGGTTCATAGATGTGACTTCAGCCAGGCCAAGCAGAGCACTACCCAGGAATTTTTGGTCAAGGTCTGAAAGAAAAGCTTTCTCTCTTCTACAGGGGCCACTACCTTGATAAAATATGAGTTGGGGCTACTGACAGTCATTGAATCAGCCACACAGAAACTTAACATCCCTTGGGCTGTGATTGAAGCCAGAACATCCCTGGCCTTTTCAGTTATATGAGCTAATAAATTCTCTTTTTTTTCCTCCTGGGTTCCTTTAAACTGGGTTTTTGTTACTTTAAGAATTCTAAGGAACAAAATACATTTTCTAATTATCTATGGAAATCTCAAAGCCTTGAAAACTTCAAGAACTAAAAAAAAATATGTTTATTTAAACTCCCACATAAAATTGAACATTACAAACTCTCATAAAAATCTTGCAAAGTCTCAGAAATAGCAGTAAAACCATGTAAACCCAGGGCTATTTGGTCCCAGAAAAAGTGTGGAGCAGTTAAAGAACTTAGGACAGTTACTGGGAAGAGATTCCCTTCCCTCCCTTCTCGTTTCGGTGTGATTGAAAGAAAAGGTGTCAACTGATAATGAAAGGCATACACTGTATGGGAAAAAGCCACTGCCAAAATGAAATGTTCCTTAATCAAAGAGAGGAAAACCAGAATTTGTGTTTAAGTTTGTCTGGAGCATGTATTTTAAGTCATCTGGTGGTGGTGATAGTTTGATCAGATAGCAAATCGGGGAAAGCCACTGTCTGTAGGAGCACAAAAGGGCACACCACAGAATTCCAAAAACACTCTATTGTGTGAGTTTATCATACTTACCAGAACCTTCAGATAAATGCCTTGGAAGGGGCACAGAGAAACATTCTGATATTACCACCAAGACCTGGAGGGAAAAAAGTGATTTTACAGTGAGTAGACAAAACATTTATTTCCAAAGAACTCCAAAGTTAGGCCTTGCCTCTATACCCAGATATTCAAAGCCAACTAGTCAGCAGTTGGTCAAAAGTACACAAAAAAGATGAGGGTATAATTAAGAATTACCTACTTTTCAAATGACATAATGTAGGAAAATACTATTAATTTAGAACAGGGGTCACAAGGTCAAATGTCTACAGAGAGCCCACTAAAAACAGATCAATCCAGCAGGCATATGAAAATAGAGGCTATCAGCCAAGCTATCAGTCATCAGCAAAGACCTTCTTCAGGACGAACAAAACTAGTTTAACAAGGGACTGCCCTCACCAACAGGTAGCCACCAACTGAGCTGAAGAACATTTCCAAGTCTAGAGTAATAAGAGGACCATAAGAAATTTCTACAGGTACACTGTGAGAAAAGTCACCACGGTATGAACTAGATGCCATTTTGGACAGTGACTGATTGGCTTGGCTTCCCCTCCAACCTTGGTTGTACTATGAGCCACTTTCTCCTTACTGTAAGCATGCCTTTCCCTTGAAGAACTGCCAGTTCCCTAGGAGCAGGTTCATCCCACGGCGATGAAGATGACCAGCAGAGGCAGCTGGGCCGCAATGAGCTGGAGAGGCACTTTCTGCCTTCTCCCAGAGCACCACACAACACAGTGATCCAGCATAAGAAGAGGTGGCCCATTGCAAAGGGCTGTAAATTTTTTTTGTACCTAAGTCACTCCCAACTTTGTTTCACTTTGAATAATTGCCCAGATTTTAAAACAGGAATACATTAGTGTTTTAAAGGTGCTCTAAATTTTTAAAGAACCAAAGGCATAATCCTTTTGATTTGATTTTATCAACATTACATGAGTACCTACTTTGTGTTCAGGATTATTACCCTCTGTATATTTATTTATTTATTACTTTACTCAATATTTGGTTCTTTAGGTTCAAGGTATCATGATAATCTCTATGGCAAAGGATGAAAAGGAGAAACAAATTGCAGCTTAATTCTAAAGCAATATGGAACATGAGTTTCCTAAGAAAAAATAAGTAAAGCACTTTGCTCCATACTTCAGAAATACAGAGATTACAGGCAGTTTTGGGATTGGGAAGGATCAAGGGTGACCACTTGAAGGTGGTGGCATTTCAGACCCTGGGCACAGTAGGAGGAGAATGGGTAGCATCAACTGTCTGGCTCAAGAGGGGCAAGGGGATCCGGGAAGCTCTGTGGGTCAGGGAGGGACAATTTACAAGCCATTGAATTAATTGAACAACAAAGTGGTAGATAATCCTATCTGAAAAGCTAGAGGCTGAAAACTTACATTTTAAAGGTGATAGTCACGTGCTTTTTATCTATTCACAGATACAATATTTTGTGACTTTTTTTTGCTTTTCTTAATGGAAGGGAAAAATTTGGTCCTGACATATTGCAAGGGAAAGAAGAAACACCTGCCAGTAACGAGAAATACTGGCATTTATGATGAAGGCTGGGAGGAAGTCAACCATACCTAGTAATGGTTGAAATATTTTAGTAAATGTTATTTTTCACATGTAAATAAAAGGCTCAGTTTTAGAAATCAAGAATATATTTTGCATTTTAAACCAATATGGGGAAGATCCCCAAGTGCATAGCCTGTATGTGAAATCACTCTGGCAGGAGCATTTTTTGCCATCAGCGACTGCTCTGAAGGATGGAAGACAGAAAAGCTCTTGGCAAGCAGAAAAGCAATGAAAACACAGGCGATGTTTTAGGACATCAAGGATCTAGAGGGCCAGGTAGAGAGGGTATAGAACAGGCTTGTGGAACACTAGCCTCAAGCTTGTTCCTCAATTGCTGTGTGACCCTGGACAAGTCACTTAACTGCTCACTCACTTGTACCCTCTTGAAAGGATGGGTTTGGACAAGCCTATCACCAAGGTCTGTTTTATGTCTAATAGTACACAATTCTATTACATAGTCTTCTTTTTCAGAAACTGGGAGGAAAACCCTCTCATTCTCGGTTCAAAAATCTATTTTCTGGTCTAGAGAACCATTTCCCTGGAATGGGCCACTTTCTCAGCTACTAAGAATGGCACTGTTTAAAAACAAGGTCTATAGGAGAACTGGTGCCCTCCTTTCTATCTTCCTTTCCAGGAGTGCATCTTCAGGCTTCAGCTTTTACCCAGGTGGGTACAAGATAGTCAAGCATCTAAGTGAGGAGAGCACATGGATTTGCTGTATTTCATAGACAGTGACATCTACTCCTCCTTATGCTGGAGGCCCTCCTCTGTAGGAGGCTCTGTGTTAAGCACCGGTCAGCAGCGTGCAGAAAATAACAGCAAAACTTAGTGTCTATTGTTACCAACCGCAATGGAGAACAGACAAGAGGTGCGAGATCACTGCCTGTGTTTTCATTGCTTTCCTGCTTGTCGAGAGCTTTGCTGTCTTCCATCCTTCAGAGCAGAGTCGCTGTTGGTAGAAAATACTGCTACCAGAGTGATTTCACATACAGGCTACGCACTTAGGGATTGTGGGTAAAACTGTAATATTTCCAGAATCTCTCACCTGGGCTTTAATGTATCTCCGTACAATAGGTGTTTCTAGCGGGTGGAGAGGATTAGTCCATCTCCATATGAATAGGTAATTACCAGGGCGAGTGAGGGCTTATCTGGACCAGAGAGGTTGGGTCAGGGGCTCTTCTGCAGCCTGTTTGTGAGAGACTCTGGGGAGCAGAAGTGGACGACTGCTTGTAAGAAATAAACTTTTATTTCTCCCTTTGAGTGATTTCAGTTTCAAAGGTATTTGCCCAGGATTTTTACCCTGGAGTTACAGGGATCTTTCCCATATTGGTTTAAGATGCAAAATATATACTGGATATCTAAAACTGAGCCCTTTGTTTACATGTGAAAAATCACATTTAGTAAAATACTTCAACCATCACTAGGCTCAACCAAGAAAATAAACAAAAATCAAACTAGCAGCCTTGTTTTGACTTCCCATCTTCTAAAATTGGGAAAAAATAGGAAACTTGGTAGTCAGGCTTATGGGAAATGATGACTTGATCAGGAAACCACTGCTCTATGGAAAACATCCTGCCCCTTCTGAGCACTAACTAACTTAAACTCCGTGAAGACTCATAAAGGCAGAGAACCTCCAAGGTCAGGCTTCGCATGACTGCATGTCTGGGCTCTGCTTTCAACCCCCAGTTAATGGCAAAGGTACCACAGGGCACCAAACTGCACACCTGGAGGCCTCCCTGAAGGCAAAAATTCCAAGTGCTATGTATTTCTTCCAACACATACTACAGTTGTAGAAAAGGCACTTGGAGAAAAAAATTCCAAAAATTTTCTATTTTATGGAAATGTATCAACCAAAAATTTATGAGCTTATTATTGCTTTGAAATTATTATTTTGTTAAAAAAAGTTATCTTCCCCATTTTATATAAAGGAACAACATTGTACATCAATTAATCAACTTGAACAGTCAAGAATCAACTCTCTTCTTTCTTTAGGCTAAACCTATAATAACCTTCCTGTACTGATTATTTGAATCTAAGGTTCCAAATGAACTGTTTTCTTAGAGTTAAAGTTCATCTCAAAGATAAAATTCTAAAAGTTTTCATGCTGAGAAGAGTTTTCAACCATTTTCCAGGAGGCTCACACTCAACCTGCATTCTCTGTAACTACACCTCATGATTGCCTAGGATCTCATACTGTTCCCCCTCCAAGAACCTTACATTCATGTGACTCCAGAATACACTGCTAGAAAAAACCAACACTAGACAGTAGATGGGAGAAGTATGTTTATATACAGTCAAATTTAAAATAAAAGCTAAATCCTTGTAGGCCAGAGCATCAGAGACATGTTAATTAGCAGTAAGAGTAACGCGACAGAATGAGACACACCCAGCACCCAATGAATGACATATCTAAGTTCTACTCCCATCTGTAAAGTTAACACCAACAGTCAAATCTCAAATATAAACTATAATATGAAGCAAGCATGTTCATGGCAAAATAAAATCAGGTGTCTTTGGCTCTTTGGAGTACAAATTTGTTACCAAGTTATAATTGCTATAAAGGCTATTGCTAACATTGTAAACTTATTTTTAAAAAGACTTTGCTGAAGAGCCAAAATTCATTATAAAATATAAGGATAAACTAAGATAATCTCACCTAAAAGTCTGTCCTTTCTATGTAAATTTTTAGTGTTTATCAATTATTCCTATCATACAGTATTTAGGAGCTATGTGATTACTATAGAGTATAATGGCTTTTAAGAACTTCTTAAGAGTTTAAAGCTCTATCAAATTGATCAAGTGTAAGTAAAAAGATTAAAAAATGATGTCAAGGAATAAAAAATGCCATAACACATATAGTTGTTTATGTTGTTAAGCAAATAAACATATTTTTATTCAAACTCTTACCAAAAACACCTAGGGGGAAAAAGCAGATACCTCCTAGATAATTGATTTTCAAACCCAAAGAAGATACAGTGATGTGTTTTGCAACTTACTTTTTTCCATAAAAATGGCTGTGTTTTTTTATCTACATTAACTTACAAAATCCACCTTTGGGAAGCCACAGTGTATGTATAAGCAGCTGGTCAGGATTTGAGATTCAAAGGGAGGACATGAGAAAGAAAAAATCATCTTGTTTCCCAAAGCTAACGCTTTGGCCTTATCACCACAATGCTCTAATCCAGCAGGCAATGTGTGAAATCACACTAGAAACTACATTGTCTTGGAAACTAGCAATTCAAGTAAGTTCTCTATATTCTAGGCAGAACACATCTTTAGAATATTTAAGGGACAGAATCAGGAGTTAATAATTTAATGAATTTTATATTATATCTCAAATTACAGCTGAAAGCAGTATAAAAATTTTTTAACTGCTTAGGTTTCACATAAAAAATTATGCTTGTTTTTTGTGCTTTTTCTTTCTTGGCTGCATAGTAATTTTGTATGAGATCCATTTGACTTTAAAGACAGGAAAAAAGATTGGCATTATCGCTTACCAGACCCATGAAAAGGCCAAAAATCAAGGTAGCTATGACGAAAAAGACATAGGAACACCAAGCAGGAATTCCAAGGGTCACTGTGAAATAGTTGTGAAGATGCTGTAATCAGAAGAAAAAATGGAGGTGAAATATTAACTTACAATGAGGACCAAACAAATGTTCAAATCTCCCTCTCTAGCTATAACTCAAGTCTGAAAATTATTTCTACATATATGAGCTCCCACAAAGGCCATTCAGTGGTTTTTGCATCTATGATTCTAAAAAAACTCATCAAATTTTATAATATTAAGAATCTGAGAGTAAAAAGTCATATCTACTAGTAAGAGTTATATTTCTTTGTTCATACTACAGAAGAACTCTGACAGAATTGTTTTTCTAGTATTTTTCCATTTTTTAAAGTATATATTTTTATTGAAGTATAGTTGATATATAGTATTATATTGGTTTCAAGTATACAACACAGTGATTCAACAGTTACACACATTATTAAATCCTCACCCCCACTAGTATAGTTACTATCTGTCAACATAGAAAGATATGACAGAATCATTGGCTATATTCTCCATGCTGCACTTCCATCCTGGTAACCAATTTCTATTATGTGCTCTTTAACCCCCTACCTTCCTGACCCACCCACCCCAACCTCTCCCCCATGGTAACCATCAGTCACTTCTCAGTGTCTATGAGTCTACTGCTGTTTTGTTCATTTTATTTTGTTTTTAGATTTAACATATTAAGTAAAATCATATGGTATTTGTCTTTCATGCCTGCCTTATTTCACTTAGCATAATATCCTCTCCATCATGATAGATTTTTTTTTTTTGGTCATATTTCCCTAATAATTCCATATACCTCAATTTTTACTTGCAACATGGCATCCATAAAAATTTAACTTCTCAGGCCTTCATCAATTTTTAAGTAGAACTAAATTATTAGTTATGAACATCAACCATTTAAAATCTCTCCATTATTCCTTTCTCTAGCCAGATTCTCATTGCTCTATGCCCACTTAAAATTCCCTAAATCATCATAAAACTAAAATGTAATAGTAGACAAAAGAAAGTTCCTCCAGTTAATTCATTATGAGCATATGAGATTTCATCAGTCTTTGACTACACATCCCTTCATACTTACTATTCCCTGGGCGCTGTTTGATACCAAACACTAAAAAAATGAGTGAAGAGATAAAATCTTACATAGAAATTAGTTACATGCTAAATCATACAGGAATTACAGCTATACCCCTGCTAGTCCGGAGTGAAAGCCCCCTTAGCTGTGAACTTGCAGGAGCTATGCTTCCTCATGATGGTTTAGTGATCATCTGTTTAAGGCCCTTACAGCTTCAAAAATAGCCATTCATTATAATCCAAACAATTACTGACACCATGAAACGACTCCAAGCTAATGCCACCAGCAGGCAAAGATAACGACTAAATGACTTGCCCAGAACTGATGAGGTTTCTGAAAGTAAGTCTAACTTGCTATTTTAATGTTTCTGAAAATCTAAATTACTCAAGTATCTCTACTGGTTTCTTGGTTTATAAATATCAATACAATTGAATAATATATTTCATTCTGGCTTAATTCTCTGAATGATAAACAAAAAGCTTGTTACCTGATCTAGCATAATCTGAGATCTCCAATTTCTTTTTCAGCAGAAGAGATCTAAAGACTCAGCAAGTATTTTAAACACTGACACATGTAATCAAAGTATTTAAAAAATATTTGTTAAATGAGGAAAAGATACTAGCAGATCTTTCAACTATACATAGGAAATGCAAACAACTCTTAATTTGAATACTGTCATCTATCTGTTCTCTACTGATGCCATTGGGCATCATTCTGTCTTTAGCCTGGGCAATTGTTACTAAGAAAAATCTAGCATTCTGCAACCCAGCAAGCAAAAGAGGTATATGGGATATCAAAAGGCTGTTTCATTCAAACTATTTTCAACTGAAGTTCTAAAATATATTGTACAGGTCCTTACTTTAGAAAATTCTATGTGTTGAACGTGGTTTATGCTTTTCTTGATGATTCATTGACATCATCGGGATTAAAGTCTAAAAGGTGCCAAATAATTAGAAGATACGGAAGCCAGTCTGCCTTTGTGCTGACCCATGGATGTATGTATTCTGGAACCTGGAACTTGCTTTATAAATAATATATGTCCATTTAGATTACTCATATAGTTAGAATGAATAACACACAGTTACAAGTCCTTCCAGACAGTACCTTATATCCTTTCTGTAAAATAAAAGATTAATGTAGCCCTCAAGAAACTTTGTAAGTTATTTTTTAGAATTCAGTACTTATTTGCCTCTGAAATCAGTGTATTCTGAGTCACACATTTAGCACATTCAAAACATCCTTTTATTTTAATAAGCTCCACTTCAATTTTCTTGTATCAGCTTACTCTTTAAAGGATTTATTTCAGCTTCTTAGAGAAACCCTGCCATCTTGTGGCCTTTTAGATAATTATTATAAAGCCTCATTAACCAAGTTGTTCTATCACAACTACAGACATAAATCTATACCTGTTAACTTTATCTGAGTTCACAGTGGTTTTAGAACACCTTAAGAATATTAGGGTTCATGGTACTAGGTACTTGAAGTTTCGGTGTATATGTTCCCAACTAATAACTTGATTAAAACTGATGTAGACTTCTGTGTTTCTGTTTCTTTAAATGCCAGGGAAAGTAATAGTTTTCACTCATGGGAAATACTGATCCTCGTCAATATTTTATTCACACATTACAAGGAAACATCCTGCTCTGTTTCATTAAAATACACAAAAATGTTGCCTGATGGGCCTACTTATACTGTTACACAGTTGTGACAGATGACCAAGACAGAGCTATTTTTTTGTATACACAGATTTGAGTGAGAGGACTAAATGAAGGCACCATTAAAGCAGAATAAATGAGAAGAATATTCCAACCAGTGGTCAGATGGATTTAAGGAAACGAAGCCTGGACAAGGCGTCCATGGATCAGAGGTAGAGCCTCCCCTCCCCAGGAGGCCAGCACTCTTTGTTGCATCTGAACTACTGCATTAAACACAGCCCAGTGCTGGACAGTCTCATTCAGAACTGTGCTGGCCCCATAGGACAGAGATCTTTTTGGATTTAGATCCCATCTACAGCACAGGACATACTCTGAAGAGTGTTGGGACAAGTCCTATATCCTTTTCAGATACAGATCAGATCCTAAAACTATCTTTGCATGGGAGCAGCTCAGAAGACTTCTCCATGATGGCAAAGGGCTAATTTACCCTTCCATGTTTTAGCCTCTCCACATCTGCAACATATCTGTGTTTCTGTTTCTTTAAATGCCAGGGAAAGTAATAGTTTTCACTCATGGGAAATACTGATCCTCGTCAATATTTTATTCACACATTACAAGGAAACATCCTGCTCTGTTTCATTAAAATACACAAAAATGTTGCCTGATGGGCCTACTTATACTGTTACACAGTTGTGACAGATGACCAAGACAGAGCTATTTTTTCGTATACACAGATTTGAGTGAGAGGACTAAATGAAGGCACCATTAAAGCAGAATAAATGAGAAGAATATTCCAACCAGTGGTCAGATGGATTTAAGGAAACGAAGCCTGGACAAGGCGTCCATGGATCAGAGGTAGAGCCTCCCCTCCCCAGGAGGCCAGCACTCTTTGTTGCATCTGAACTACTGCATTAAACACAGCCCAGTGCTGGACAGTCTCATTCAGAACTGTGCTGGCCCCATAGGACAGAGATCTTTTTGGATTTAGATCCCATCTACAGCACAGGACATACTCTGAAGAGTGTTGGGACAAGTCCTATATCCTTTTCAGATACAGATCAGATCCTAAAACTATCTTTGCATGGGAGCAGCTCAGAAGACTTCTCCATGATGGCAAAGGGCTAATTTACCCTTCCATGTTTTAGCCTCTCCACATCTGCAACATGACACAAACTTGTAGCCTCTTACAATGTAGGCATTACAAGAGGTACCTGTGACTGTACACCATCTCACTGTAATATTTTTCTAGATATGTTTACAAGGAAAAACAAAAACTAAAGTAGTAAAAGAAGAAATATCAGTATTTAAAACAGAGGGATGTTTTGGAGTTTTAAAATACACTTTTGTTATTCTCTAGTCTAAACACTCATGGCCTTTTCCTCATAGTGAGATAATTATAAAGCATTAAATCTCCATCATACAGATTGTTCTCCCAAGGATGTAGCACACCTTTCTGTACCCAAAATTTGCCACATGCTGCATCCTTGCATAATAGCACATCCTTTCACAAAACTAAGGAAAGGTAAGTTACATATTAGCTCAGCAGGCAGCACAAATTCACCAAATCAAAAAAAAATATTTAAAAGCATTCAAATGCTAAACCTAGTTAGCAAAACTGCACACTCTACAACTGCCACAGAACCCTATTTAATCCTGCTATCAGCCTTGGTAAAAAACGAAATGAATCAAAAGTATTCCTTCTTGCCTAATAGAGGGGAAAAGTGAAATAATGATGGCAAAAATGATTAATGAATATAACTAACAGAAAACAGTTTCAAGTATATAGTAGGTGCCAGGTTCTATGCTAAGCATTCACAGTGTCCTAGTAACTACAGTGTACAGCAGGGAAAACAAAGGGGTTCAGACATACACACAAGGTGGAGAACAATAACTTCCCTTGTCTCCCTGCATCACTCCAGCCAATTGGGAAGAGACAAGAAAACAGACAAAAGGAAGTCTCTCCATACATGAGCCAGATAAAATCTTATCCCAAGGACTCCTAACCCTGGCTGTGGCACCAGTTCTGACAGCAGTGCTTCACAAGTTCCATCTTCTGCATATAGTTTTCCTGGCATTACCTTCACCTTGTGCTATCCTTTAAATTATTAACATTTTTCATGACACGGAGTCACTTTCTAAAATTGAATGTAATTTTTAAGAAATTTCATACTGTTACTATAAGTTGAAAGTAAGTATCAATTCTGTATCTAGAAGATACCTACTCTTTGAGAAACTCCTGTAGTTATACATCTTCTAGGCTTCAGGGACACTTGTGAAGTAGGCAGACTGTGCAGACTACATGAGGATAAGTATTATAGCTAAAGTGGCAATGACTTCTGTGAGTTTAAAAATTAAAATACCTAGAGGTGGATACCATCATGACTGGATTAGAAAGACAATTGGAATTTTGGTGGTAGAATGCTTAAGACTGTCTACGCTTCTCTTACTTTGTGGCACAAATTAGCTATCAAGGATCCCTAGGATTCCAGGTGGCATCAGGAAGCACACAGTTTTCCAACTTATAAGACTACTCAAGGGACCTCCTCAACCCAAAAGTTTATTCAAACAAGAACACGTGGCTGGTGGGCACAAAGCTGTTAAGAAAGCCAAATGCAGACTGAACAAATTGCAGACCTGAGCTCACAGGAACTCGGCTGTGTGGGTGTCAACTCGCCAAGCAATCCTGACATCCTGAGGACCAGCTTCTGTCTCTAGAATTCCGGACCCAGAAGGCTGGCTTCAATCCTTGAGGTAGAAACTCAAGGACTTTAAGGAATCACTAGTTCAGTAGTCTCTGATCTTCTAGATGTTGCTCTTGCTTTTGTTTTCTCTTTTTCATTACAGAAAAGTTAGAAATACAGAGAAAGACAAGAGACTTTTTAAAAAGTCAGCCATAGCTTCAACATCAGAGATAGCCACTGTTGATAACTGATTAATCTACGTACTTTCCTATATACATATAAAACTTCCATATAAACATAACAGTACATAAATTCTTTCATTATCTTTTCCCTTGCTTAATAACATGCAATTTTCCCTATGGAAGTGTTTATATCTAACTAGCTACCCATCTAGGGGAGACAGTTGCTCAGGAAAAACTAACTCCTATCTGCTCACGTACCTATAAAATCTCTGCAGAATAAAAGAAATTGGGGGTGGGCATCAACAAGCTTGCCCCACTGGCATTAGCACCTTGTGTCAGTCCTTCTTCCTGTTTTGATCTTATTTCTTGGAGACTTTATACTCTGTTAGTTCTAACCACGTTCCTTCTCCTACATTGGGCAATGCTGCTTCTGTTCATTATTAATATGGTTGTACTCTAGTTTTATATTGTCTAAACATGAGTTAAAAACAGATTATGTTCCCTACAATTATACATTCAACACTGATGGGAAGATCCTGGGCAGGGGAGAAGAGTTGGCTAGATAGGTTAACCAAGCAGGCTGGGTAGCAAGCTCAGACAGAGGACTGGCTCAGTGAGGGGTTCTGTAAGCGCAGCATGCCAAGACTGTAGCTAGAGGTTGATATGGGAACAAGACCCAACAGGTAGCCAAGGATTGGGTCCCACCAAAGGCAGAGATCATACTTCTAGAAACACAGGTGGTAAAAGCTATTCCCAGATATTTTATGAAAGGCTGGGAACTTGTTTCTAAGAATAAAAGATACCACAAATGTCAAGAGGCATGGGGAAGCTAGATGCTGATATGAAAGGTAAAACCAGACCTCTATTATAAGTTTGTACACACAAGCACGAGGAGATCAAAATACTCTACAAACCCACCATTTATGTTCTTTAATCATGTACACTCATTCCCCTTCTCCATACATGATCTATAAACAGGACAAATATATTAGTGACCCCAATAAATACAGACTAAGCTTATCAGTTCAAAAAATTACTTCTTGTTATATCCTTTTTACAAGACTCACTTAAAATCTAACAACAAAAATGTTGAAAGTGGGTAAAAAGTATTCCAGGCAAATGTTAACCAAAAAGAAAAATATATGGTGTTAGAGAAGGCAAATAGTGACTCTGTGGCACCTTACTACACTGATGGACAGTGACTGCAATGGGGCATGGGGAGGACTCAATAATATGGGTGAATGTAGTAACCACATTGTTTTTCATGTGAAACCTTCATAAGAATGTATCAATAATACCTTAATAAAAAAAAAACAAAAAAGAAAAATATATGGTGTTAACATTAGACAAAAATGACCTTATAGAATATAAAAAGTAATCATGTCAAATTTTATAGTTTACCTTATAAAAGTTTTTTGTTCCCTTTTTAAAATCTGGAATGACATCCTAAATATACATATAAATATTATATACACTCTTACTTCTCAGTTAGCAAGAACATCTTAATTGGTTATTCAGAGATGGGTCATATTCTATTCTCCAAATGGCCCTCTCTCTGTAATCCAGTGCATCTGTGCTATTTATGGCTAGGCACTGGGCGAAAAAGATAAAATACCCACTCCCGACCTTGATGTGCTCCAAACACCATACATTGTAATCATTTGCATAATATAATGAAAAGCTGTAACTCCTTATCTAAGCTGCTGTTTATCTAAGAACTAAATGCCAGTGATTATGAGGTCAGAGCAATTATTTCTCTTCCCTGATATCATCTTTGAAAGTAAACTTGTCTTTAACAATCTGTGAAGGCCGTGACAATGTTCCATGTAAGCTCTTCTTAACCCACAGAACAAATTCATCTCTGGATATGCACTTATTATGTTCTGTGCTTAAGATCTTGCTCTCAATATTCCTGACACCCATCCATTAGAATTATCCTGTTGAATTAGACATTTTAAGGCTACAAGGCTCTTAGATGGCTATCAGATTACATGACTCTGTCAAACTTCAGTGTCAACATACTGCAAAAGACAGAATCTCTTACTCTCAGTTCCCAGTTTGCAATTCATAATTCTCAGCCCTTGAATAAATTTCTCACTAATGTTTAGAAAATAGCAGAAGGAAACTATATGAAACTAAAACTATCTGGAAAGAGGGAACATGATAATTATTGTTTAATGTGATTCTTAAAATGCCAGAAAAATAAGAAAAAAATATTAACCAAAAAAGATTGAATCCACGTCACCAATTCAGCTCCTGTTTGAAAAAAAAAAATTCCTGAAATAGGTAATCTTTCTCACAAGGCAGAAAATATAATACAACTGAGAGACGGAGACACAAAAGGTTTTTCTTATATTTTCCTCAACATATATCAATGTGTATGAGAAACAGAAAAGGAGTTTTCATGAGCTCCTTGAATATTAAATTCAAGTGATGCACCATGACCTATACTCATAGCTTAGAAAAGACAAGTATAGGGAGGACTCACTCCTAAAGATTTTTTGAAATACTTTTAGAATACATATTTAATTCTACCATAATTTTGTTAAATCTGGCAGGATTTAGCCCACCGTAAGCATAAAGGAGAGGAAAGGGTTATAGGACACATTCAAGTTCATAGTTCAACATTTTAATCTAATAATGGTTCCATCTCACTGAAATGACACAGTGGCATTGTACAATTGCAAATAGCAGGTAGCACAAACTTTTCCCTATAGGGTCAGATAGTAAATATTTTGGACTCGTGGGCCTATGGTCTCTGTCACAACTACTCAAGTCTACCGTTGTATCATGAAAGCAGACATAGAAAATAGGTAATGAATGAACGGCTGTGTTCCAGTAAATCTTTATTTACAAAAACTGGAGGCCAGTCCACAAGCTGCAGTTTGCTGATCCCTAACATAATCACTTTCAGGCTTAGATAATCTTGATTTTGTGGAGACATATGACAATGGGAAAATAAGATTAAGTAAAACCACATAAGCCCTTTCAGCTTTGATAAAGGAATTCATCACCAATCTAAGACAACATGACTAACACAGTAGTTACATATCCTTATTCAATTTATGTCCTTCTATACAAAGGCACACTTCCACAGGGATCCCACATCATAGTTGTATGGCTTAAGAACAAAAGTGAAATTATAAAAGTTTTTATAAGTGTTTATCTTCCCATTGTTTAGAAGCCACATTCTTACTCTTAAAAAACCCTCTGACAAGACAATCGCAGGGGGTATATTTAAGATTACTCACCCATATCTTGCCAGAGATGCTAAAAAGACCAGCCATTCCAGACATCCTTAGAAAAAAAAAAAGACAGAACCACTGGTGATACATATGATGAAAAAACTAAACAAAACTTGGGCCATAAAGTTATCTTACCCTCTACTTTCTGAAATACACTGTTCTCTCTCCCAGATTCACTTCTTTTCCTATAGAGTTTAGATTCGAGTGCCATCATTTCAATCACTGCTGTAAATACATTCAAATCCCCTGGCCCTTTCTCCCACCATTGTACATACCTGGCAAAAACCCCAACCCTGAGCAGCTTCATGTTTCTGGGGAGAAATCACATGACATGTCTCTCTCCCCAGTCACAAACCCCAGCAAACACTCAATACTGCAACTGTCCAGGCACTAGCTGAGATGATGATGATAGCTCACGGTCTTTTCCTCTCTTCAAACCTTACAGATCCTCCCCTCCCCTGCCCTCTCAGCTAACGGACAGTCCTTGTGTGTCACTGAGGAATCAGAGGCCATCATCTGATCTCTTATTGTCCCACCACCAAATCTGAGTCTAGGTGGTTGATATCTGATTAATCTCTCTACGTACTTTCCTATATACTTCCTTATAACAGAGAAAGGCTATCTGCCCGACCACATTCCAACCCTCCACGTGTAACTTGGATCCCATCCCCCTCGTCTGGTTAATGACTTGGTTCTGTCATCCCTCTTCCTGCATTTGCAATTTCTCCCTCTGCTAGGTCATGCCAGCCCCATTAGAAAATGCTCTACCCAACCCCCTTCATCTTTTAAAGAGCATCTATGGATCTCACGCGGTCCCCCATCCTCAGACAAACTTCTCTGAAGAGCAGTCCACACTTTGTTTCTTCTTCCTCGTCAATCTTTAAGCCATTCAGATCTGGCTTCTGTCCTCACTACTGTTCCACCAGTACTTGTCCAGGCCACGATGACCTCATATTGCTTACTCAGTGTCCATGGCTCAGACTTGGTCTTCCTTCTTGGTAACATGGGGCACAAGTGAATACTCCCTCCTTCTCGAACACCACTTTCTTCGCTTCTAGAAACTGCACATTACTGTTTGTCTTCTGGCCTCACTGGCACTCATTTCAGTTTCCTTTAGCTGACTCTGCATTTCTAAGCCTTTAAACACTATTACATGCTTTGTACTTGTGTTCTCCATGGCGACCTATCTCCATGCATTGAACCTGACAGTTCTACAAAGAAATCTGCATTCAAGCTTAAAATGTCCAACACTGAACCCTTGATTTGCTCTTGCTCAAATCAGTAAGTGGTAGCAAGACCCACCAAATACTCAAACCAGGAACCCAGGAGTTTTTATTTGGTAATCTTTCCTCTCCTTTTCCTTTGCTATATCTGTCTTCAAAAGATAGTTTGAATCCACCCATCCTCTCCATCCCACTGCTGCCACCACCCTGAGGATGGACACCCCAACAGCCTCCTAACTGTCTCACCTCACCCATTCTGGAGCTCTCCAGTCCCTTCTCTGAAGAACCACCTTCTCATTGCCTGGAATGACAACATCCAGCTTCTTCCCTGTGGCCACAGTCCCTGTGTGATGTGGCACCAGCCTGTCTCTCTAACTTGGCTTTTGCTACTCTCCTTCCTTTTCACTGGGCTCCACCCTGGTCACCTTTCTGTTCCCCCACTCATTACACTCTTTCCAGATTAGGGCCTATGCATATGCTATACACACTCACAGGAATATTCCCCCACTACTTTTTAGCTGGTCAGGTCCTTCTGGACTTTGTATCTCTCCTCAGAGCCATCTCTCCTGGTCCCTCCATCTAATGTAGGTCCATGCCCCCACATTGATTCCCTTCTTGGTAAATGTTTGTTTGAGTGTTTTAAACAGCCCTTATCCAGACTATGATTCTCTATATCCTGGTTGTCTTAATCTGTTTTACTCTTAAATTACAGGGGAGCAAAGGGACTATGTCTGCCTGGTTCACTATTGAATATCTAGCATTTCAGATAGTATCTGGCATAAAATCAGTACTCAAATATTTGAAGAATGAAATGCCAGAGGTGAGCCACCTTTAGGGTGTCACACAGGTACCACTAGATGATTTATTTCTTAAATATTGCATGCCTTGCTCCTATTTCAGAAGAAATATTCCTTACACTTATATATGCTAATAGAAAATTAGTTACAAATAACTCATTCAAAATTAAAACCAACTGTACAAAAAGTTATTATTTGGCCTCATCTCCCTAACCAAGTATTAGAGTTTGCTGTCATGGCCAAAAGCTATCCCCAGCAGTATTCTGCTAGGCAGCCTCAGATACCATAGGTTTTATTTTCCACATAATATACAGTAGCAATTCTTTCATGAACTATAATTCAAGAGTTACTGCTCTATCAGGAAGAGGAGTGGTACATGGTGTTCAACACCCTATTTTGTAAAGAGAAAACAGCATGGCTTAGTGCAAAAGCCAGGGAGAGATTTTATGTAACCCACCCAAATCTGGCTACTTAATTCCCAATATACTAGTAACTAGCTAAAACATATGGAGGTCATAAAGTCAGAAACATCAATTTATAAAGCATGATCATTATGTAGCCTGCATATCAAAAGTGATTATGAAGAAAAATGTAGACTTTAAAGGCCCATGGCTGTTACCTTGATACCTCCTGTTTTATTAATAACACCTTGTCATTAAAAAAAAAATAGCAAATTACGTTAGAGAAGCTGGGGATTTCCAGCCAGTCAGAGGTTCAACTGATTGCCATTTCTTCTCCAAGATATAATTCTGCAGGTCTTCATAGACTCCTGGGCCACGGTAACGGCGGAATACCCCATCCTTTGCACTATAAATTATGAAAATAAATCAATTAAAACATCAAGTGCTACAGATAATAAAAATAAAAATAATTATTGGTTATACATGTGAACTCTACTCCAATTTTAACTTTTCTCAAATTAAGAAAAAAATACTGTTAGGCACAAATTAGAAAACATGCATAAATATTAACCTATTACAAATGAGAAATTCCAAAACAGAGAGCATTAAACATTCTTTTTATCACTGCACAATTTGTGATTAAAAGCAAAGTTCTTAGCAATGTTTCATCTGCCAAGTTACTTTTATCATTTTTGCTACCAATTATTTAGACTTTCCTTTTAACAGAAAACAGCACTTGTTATCAAGTTTTAAAAAATTAAACACACATTTTCAAATTTATGTCATTCAAGTCTTCCCTCTTAAAGTCAATAAAACACCACTTAGTCTCAAATGCTCCTTCAGTCTTCCCCCCCTCTTGCTTCTTGCCACCAACTAAGCTTCCTAAGAAGAGTCTGAACTTGCCATGTTCTCCTCCTGTATTACTCATTCACTACTTGGTGTGATGAGGAGATCTCCAACGACTCCTAAGTGCCATATCCACAGAGCATTTTCTGCCACTTTTCCATCATCTTGTCACTGGCCCTGTCCACTACTGAATGCTCCTTCCTCCCTCCACTCCCCTGGCTTCTGCCATGACATTAGCTCCCTGGACTTCTGCCGACTACTCTGACCATCCCTTCTCAGTACCTTACTCCCCATCTTCTTTTGCACATGTCCTAATGTTGGTCAACCCTAGGTTCTATTCTTGATCTACTTCTTTTCCCATTGCATATGTTCTGTCTAGATATAGTTCAACTGTTACTTACCTTGAAGCTGAGGATCTGCCAATATGTATCTCCAGTCTAGATCTTTCTTCTAAGCTCTAGATCCTGATATCAAACTGTCAACTGAATTTCTCCATTTGGAATTAGCACAGGCACTTCACACTATCTTCTCCTTTCTGGTCTCTATTGTCCAAAATCCATCTTATTTTAATGTCTCCTCAAAGGCTTTTTCAAGTTTTACATGGCCTGTTGGTAGTCGTCATAGGCTTGTCCTTCCCTATAGCTCATCAGTCATCAAGTTCCAAAAATCTTATTTCCTAAATATTTCCAGAATCCATCCCTTCCTTTGTCTTTTCCATCACTGCCTGAGCCTCTCTAGCTTCATCACCTAGAATGATCCAGCTGCACTCTGTGGATAGCCAGCCATACAGAACTACAGAACTAGTTACAGTTCTCAGAGGGTATCTCATTTTCTCCTGGCTTTTCCATGACATCTCCTCTGTTTGGAAAGGCCTTTTCCACCTTGTCTGCCTAAACAATTTCTACTTATCTATTAAGAATAATTCCACCTTTAATATCATCAGGAAAATCTTCTTTGACCCCCCCACCCCTAGTTATTCACCACCTGAATCAGGTTCCTTTCTCTGTGGCATTCTGGGCATCCCTCTCTCCTAATAGCTGTCATTTTTGCAGACCAGTCTTTCTGCCTTCAAATATTAAACTGAATTAAGTTATGGAAAATAACTTAAAATTCCTTGTACACATCTAATAATTTCTAATTTTGAAAGACCAGAAAATTATTTAACTTACTGAAAAAATGCTGGGAGAGTGGTGACAAAGAAGCGGCCACTCAAACCTACAAGAAACAAACGAAAAGTTACAAGTCAGACTCAGACTGACCCAAGCACCTAACTTAAGTTCTAAGAACAAGCAGACTTGAGCTTACTTTCACAAACACATTATTAAAATCATTATAATAACTGAATCAAACTTCCTATTTATTTTTTTGACTTAGGGAAATTTTGTTTTACTCATTTTTATTTACCTAACACTTTCTAGTCACTGACAGGCAACTTATTTATCTTTTATGTATTATGTTAGAGTAGTCTGGCTTGTACGTCACCTAGAATCATATGATGGATGAAAGGATAAGTTTTAGAGTCATGCAAACTGGATTAAATACCAAATTCTCCACTTACTAGCTTTGTGATCTCAGAAATGTTAAGCTCTCTGAGTCTTAGTTATCTCATCTGTAAAATGGGTATAAGAAGACTAACTGAATTTTTTCAAAGTTAGACTAGATCAGTATGTTAAGTGCTTAGAACACAGTATACAGGACTCAATAAATTAAAGGTATTACATTAGTTATAGGTTTAAAAAGAATATGGAATATGAAATAAGATCATGTGTAATCTTTGCACACTTAAAAAATTTGCAAGTACTGTCAAGGGACTGCAGATTTTTTCAACTTGTCATAGGAAATTACTAGACACTAACTACATACATATCAAATGCTATGCTAGGTATATGTGAAGACAAAGATAAATATTTTTTTAGCATTTAGTTAGTACTTATTTTTCAGACACTGTATTAAGTGCTTTGTAAATATAAAATGACACTCAACAAATATTTACTAAGCTCCTTCTTGTTCCAGGGACTGTGATAACTGCTCAAGAAACACAGATAAGCAAAAACATGTATAGTTTCATTCTCACAGAACTTATAGTCTAGAGGCAAAGGAAAAGAAGTTACTTTAACCAGAGATAGATGATATCAAGTAAGGGGCTTGCAACAAAAATCTGACTGAGACTATGAATAAAGAACAGATCCCTGCTCTTTAAATGTACACAAATAAATAATATTTACGTGGGAACTCAGAAAGGGTTAGCCCAGTTCTGACAAAGAGAAGGAAAGCATGGAAAGATGGTAGAAACATTATTTTAACAATTCCCATCACTTCTACCTTTCTCACTGAAGAACAATCTGGACAAAATCAAATATTCAAATAAAGTTACTTAAATTTTACATCTTTGGGTTATCTGTGTTGTAAAATACTGAAGGTTCTTTTAATAACATGGGAAATTTGTGTATCACTCATTTTGTAAATTAAATCTACATTCAGCATATGACGCCTTCCCAAAGAAAGATTTTCTTTTTTTCTCATATCAAAACAAGTAGACTTTAAAACATTCCAGTGATGGTTAAAAGAAAACACAGTACTCCAAAGGCAAAAAAAATCAGTGTCACAAAAAGAAACATTTATTACATACATTTTTCATTATATATACATTAAAAAAGAAAACATTGTACTGGCAGCAACAAAAACACAAGTGATGTGAGAAGTCCACTGCAGATTCTAACAAGCATCTCTGTTTACAGGGCATTTTCACCTTCAACATTGCTTGGAATTTCACCCTAACAGTATATTTTCAACTCTAAATTACCAAGGGAAAACTATTGGTAATTCTAAAGGCTTAAAAATTATTAAAGGCTTTGGCTTAAAATAACTATTATAAACAGTCTCATATCTCCCTTCTTTCCTAGTTATAGGTTCTAATGACAGCCTAAAATTTTATCTAAGGAGAATTACAGTGTTTGAGAATTATGTTTTAATTATACGGCCTTCTAAAATGGAATGAACAAACAAATGACATCCCATCACTTCTTCAAGTTTCCATTTATGTTTTCTTTTTATCAGAATAAATAGATAGAATTTCTACTAAATACTGGGTATCAGTAAAGGCAATATTTTTAATTTGTTCTTTAAAATCCTTCATGTTTTTATAAAAATATTTCATAAAATATATTAACTTACACAATATGCAAAACGGAATTTCCAGATTCACAGCCCAGCTTGTTGGGAGTTAAAATTAAAACTAAGAAGAAGAAGTAGGGCTTAAGTTTTGGTTTTAATTCATTTTAATCTGGAACATTAAATTCAAACTCTCCAGGCTTCAGTTTTCTTAATGGAATCATAGTTTCTGTCTCATCATATTTTAGTATTAAATCATTTTATATTTACAAAGCACATAGAATATAGTGTCTGAAATATAAGTGCTAACTAAATGCTAGCTATTACTTCCTATATTTAAATCTCTGATTAAAAATTAGAATAATCTAAGAGGACATAACAAACAAAAACTAATTTAGTGTTAAGTGCTTTGGAAATTAAACATTATCATGGGTAATACAACTTACATCTTCACAAATAAATGTGCCCATGAAAATCAATGAGTATAGAGAAAATAAGGAAAAAGAAACAGTGACAGATGGTCTCTGAGATTTTTCTGCATATTTCTGGTTCAGGCTAGAAGGTATAACATGACACTCATTCCCCAAATTGCTAGATTAAAGAGTATAAGAATTTATGGCTCTTGACATGAATTACTGGGTCATTTTCCATAACTACTGTAAGAATTTACAAGACTATCAATTTTGCTTTCATTTATGTTTCTTTTTCAATATTTCTTCAAATGACAACCCATGTGGAATATTCATAAGGTTACAGCATCTAACTTACATATGAATTCCGTTTGTTGTCTGGAATAATATACTGGCACTCAGAATGTATTCAGAAAATTCAACAACAACAAAATTAAGAGCTGCCAACATAGTCCTTATATTGTGACACATTAGTAAACTCTTGAAGATCTGTAACCATAGGAAATTCCTTTCAAATAAATGTCACTTCTGAGAGGCGGACAGGAATCAGAAGGCTTGGGGTCTCATGTCAGTGCCCCACAGCATGCCTTCTAACCTTTGATGCTGATGCTGTAATGTATCAAGGAAGACTTCCATTGCCTGACAAGTTACAACATTATCACCTTAAAACAGAGAAGCACAATCAGAGTTATAGACTAAGGACTTAAAAACAAGTTACATGTGCATCTTAACACAGAATTACAACAGCACACAGCAGCTCACTTCACGGTCTGTGTCACGGTTCACTGCAACAAACTCCAGCAAGTGTAGAAGAAACTAGTACATTCTTACACCTTTAACTAAAAGAGAGAAAGTTTGACCACAAGGTCTCCCAAAACTCCTGCATATTTTTGCTTTAAGAGTAACTTCTACTAGTGCAAGTTGCAGTGCTCCAAAATCGTGCGACTATAGACTATCTACTGTTAAAAGAACATATGGGATGTGAACAGTTCCCAGGAATGTGTTGTTTTAATTTGTCTGATTTTTCTCAAACTATTCAAATTCAGTTAGACAATATCCATCA